ATAGCAGATATGAAACATAACAGGCACAATTCAGTGTTTCATGAACACTGCACCATAATTGGTTGTAATACTAATAGAGAGACTGTGAAATTAATTGAATAAAAAATCAATACCTATAAGAGATTAACAAATAGACTTATATTAAAAATAAACAAATCCTAAAAAGAAATCCAAGTGTATAATTAGTTCATGCTAAAGATCATTCCCATCATTGTTGCTCATCAGTGTTGCTCATTTCCAAATAATACCAGAAAATTTTCTATTATTTTTAATTTTTTAATATGTGTAATGAATAAGAAATTATTGATTTTTGTAAAAAAAGACAAAGATTGTGATTTATTATCAGCCACTATATCAATATATAAGTTAAATAATAATGTATAAACAGAACGTAAGCTAGAACCATTCCACTAAAGACAAATTTTTTAGATAGAGCAAAATGTATTAGTATTATCAGGGAAGGTTGTACAAGGAAGAGTGGTTTAACCTTATTAAATGTATATTCAGTGATTTTAACACAATATACATTGATGTATTGTTGAGATGTTATTTTTAAAATGGGCACCAGAGTAAAAAAAAATGTTGATAATTGTTGGTTGTAATTACAGTAGAGCGTTGTTTATCCGAAAGAATTTCAGTCGGCAAATTTAAATTTTCGCTAGTGCTGTGGCGCTGCAATCTTTGGCTATATCTTGGGCTACTCCAATATTTTTTTGTTTGTGTATGTTTTAGCTGGCAGCACTGTCACTTTTGTGTGGTGTTTTTCTGAGGACTGTGTATCATGCTGAATCGAACATTTTGATACTAGATAACTTCTAAAGTATAAATTTTTTTTTTGTTTTTATTTTTTTCAATATATTTATTTTGTTTGTATAAAATAAAGAAATAATTTTTAACGATATAATAGCCATGATTATTATTCTAAAAAGTTTACATTAGGCTTAACATCGACGAAAATTCAACATGAAGCAACACGCAACGGAGAAAAATTTCAACATTGGATAGGTTAATGTATTTTTTCGTACATAATCGGTTATCCAAAAAATAAGTTATCCGAACAACCCCAGTCCCCAATTGATTCGGATAAATGACTGAAGAGGGGTTATCTTTGTAAAATCAAAAATGCATTTTGCTTGGAATTTTGTTACTCAGTGTCAAAAAATGTTTAAATAAAATTAAGTTTTTTAAGTGTTTTGTCAGTTTTGCAAAATTGCAATACAATTATTGGACAATTCGGGTTTGGACAGTTCATTACAGTAGTGAACATACTGTATATCAGTGTTTTTCAACCTGTGGGTCGCGACCCCCCAGGGTGGTCATAAAGCCTTACACCGGGGTCGTGGGTAAAAGAAAAAGACAGGTGTTTGTAGATCCTACACTACAATAAAAAAACTACAATTTCAGTGAGAAGGCTGTGCCTGTTTATTTTACAGTACAATTGGTTTTTCGATTGATATTTAGGTCTCAACAGAAAGAAAATTAAATACATAGTTTTTAAAATCATTGATATAGTTTTAATATGGTCCTGGTGGTCGCCAGAATTTTTTAACTTGTAAAGGGGTCGCATATTCAAGAAGGTTGAAAAACACTGCTGTATATGAACTGTTAAGAATAAGTCTTGTAAGAAAGAGATTGTACTGAAATTTTGTAATTAAAAAAAATCACTAAACTGGACATAGTAGAACACAGACCTAATGCCATTGAAACAAATGAAAATAGACACTAGGAACAGATTTACTTCTTACATCCCACTTTTAGTAACATGTTTTTCAAATTTTTCACAAATGCATTTTGACAAATTTGTAACATTGGGATTATTTAATTCATTTATTGAAATGGATATAAAAGAGTATTTGTTGTAACAGGAATTTAAATAAGTATGGCAGGGCTGTAATTTCTTTAAAAAAAATTATTATTAAATTAATTCTTCACATTTCTAGTATTTAATAATATAAGGAGCCCTATTTATCTGGCTTAAAGAGTACCAGGCCTTATCAGGAAGATCAAAAATCAAGATAATCCAGAAAATTCCTTAACAATCTAAATAATAGTTTAAACATTTTATTTTATATTTCTAATTTCTTCTCCATCACAAAAGCACTTTGTTTTTTAGACATCACTTTCATGGTATTTACTTCACAAAAGATTGAATGTGACTGAAACTCAGCAAAAGAATAGTAGCTGTGGATGTTGAGTGAGTAATAAACGGCAAAGTCACTAGGTTATAAACAATAAACTTATTAACATGTTGACTGACATGAAAAGCACAGCATTTTTATTTAACAAGGGAGTAGAATTTTTCATAATTGAAAATCTTAAAACATTAGAAAAAGATCCAACAAGATATTAAGTACTCAAAGAGCACTCCCATGGAGTGCATAAAAATGATCATATGCCAATTCACAGAAAACAAGTCTATTCTTGCAAGCTGCAACATTGCACTTAGAAATGCTAACTACATTCTTGCCTTAGATTTTTTTCATGTGTATAGTTTTTCGTATGTCTACCTTTCATACTTCCGAGATGAATTATATTTTATAATCTCATTTAACATAGTTACAATGTAATGGAATAATAATTTGAATCACTTATTCTGATAGAACACAAAATGTTAACAAAGCATGTAGCCTATTAGTTGCTTGTACAAAATTCTCAACTGTTTAAATCATAACAATTGTAGGATACTAAAACCAATGTTTACAATTATTTAAATCAGTTTTTAATTAACTAATATAAATTACTTAATGCTTAATTCTATATTGTGAAATGATATTTTACAAAATATACAGTCATTTATGTAAAAGAAAATTCAATCTATACAATTGAATGATATACACATAACTATAAGAATTAAAAATTTTATCTCCATTACAATTCATTTTATTTATTTTTATTCTACATATGTATATATTAATAAAAGATACAATAATTATAATGTAATTTCAACAAGATTTCTTTCAAACTATTCAACATAATTATAGCTTACAAATGTAGGTAGTGTGTGTACATTGTTATGTTACTTGCAAGTGTATTCAATGATGAGCAGCAGCTGCATATGCCCTTCCTTAACCAAACATTTAAAATACATACATAAAAAAATATGATAAATACTTAATGACTATTTATTCATGTTATTTTCTAATAGTTAAGAATAAATAAATCATTCTTTATGTGTGTATATATTTTATTAGATTTTTCTACAAAGCAAATTATCTAAAAGCAACTTTATGCACAAAACTATTCCTGAGGCCCTCTTGATTATGCTTAGATATGCCACAGATAGTAAGTTAGATAACATTAACATGCAAGATGCGATAAATATCCAAAATGCTTTATTTAGACCCAAAATTTAGCAAAACTAACATACAACTGAATATTTTCAACTTTAAAAAAACCATCGGGAATCAATGAATATTTAAGTGACAATATTATATATTCTATAAGCTTAATATCTATTTTTACAACATTGTGTAAATTATTGTTACAAAACTTTGGATATTGTGAATAACTGAGCAATTTTAGTATTTTTTTAGATATGAAAGCATTTTCTTTCATTATATAAAACAAAATACTGCTATTAGATTACTTTAAAATTATGACTAATAAATACAATCATACTGAATTTTATTAGGTTTGATAAATTTTCCATTATATAATAATAAAAATAGATTATTTCACTATTGTTTTAAAGAATTTTTTTTTACACTTCCTTCCTTCTTAGCATATTAAAGAGAGGAATGCTTATGTAATTTACAAAACAAAAATAACCATCTAACCTAAAACTATTTACAAAATTTAAATAAAACCTGAAGTTACCTATAGTAAATAAATCATTAAAACTTTCATCTTTACCTTCCTTATCAAAATTTATATATTTACTTAAACACAGTCACCTATCACAGACTATTAAGTGTATGGAATTTCAATTTCTTATAGTAAACATGATTCAAAATCAGTATATAAAGCCATATTTTTCTTTTTTGTGGTAAATTTATATAATCACACTCTTATTTTGCTATTGATATTGCCAACATTATTCAGACAGGCCAAAATGACCGTTTCATTTATTATATAAATTTTATAAGAGGTGCCAGATAAACACAATGACTGCTGACTGCTAGCAATTATGAATAAAGTAGTTCATATTACATATCCAATAATCATATTTGAAAATGTCATTTGATACACATCACTTTAAAATAAAACTCTATTCACATATGAATTTTAAATAATTTTAAAAATGAAATCAAAACAGAAGTAAAATCAATATAAAAATTAAAAATATATCTGTATTCCACATTTTTGACATTAAACAATTTAAATAAATTTACTAAATTAATTTTCTTTTTTATTTACAATCAAACAAGCAAATAATATTGATTCAAAAAATTGTTTATATATCATAACATGCATAAAGAATTTTAGTATTTGCCAATATATTACACAAAACATTACCGCTTTTAATACAGCATACTGCTCCATTACTTAAATATTGTTAACTATAAAATACGAATAAAGAATCCTAATAGGAATAATTGTTAATAAATAAAAATTTGCTTAGCTAATATTGTGTCACTTATTACTAATCACTTGTATAACATTATACATTAATATATTGGTAGGAGTTAGATTTGTGTGTATATACTCTATATAATGAATGATCTAAAATTAACTGGTAAACTGTAAACTTTATAAAATTTCAATATTTATCCAAGAAACAATGTTTTACACAATATCAATATTGTTTACTGTTACTTACTTAAATTTTGGCTGGAGTTATTTGAAGAGTTTAATAAGTTTATGTATTGTTAAATATTGGATGTGAAGATGACAATGAAATGAGAAGTGTGTAAAATAAGTCATGAGGACGATCATACCAATGACAACTGATTATTATTCCACAAAGTACATCAATAACAATGCATGGGATGTCTTACCGACTGCTAAATCGTACTTATTGCATATATCGAAATGCTCACAAAATATATAAGTAAACTCACCGGTTTTTCCACTATCGACGAAAGTGTTTCAGACGATAAAAAGATACGAAATCTTAAGCCTAACGTCAACGTCATTGAAATGTAATGAGACTAAAATATTTACAGTCTTCTAAAATTTTACGGTTGATAAATAATTGATTACTTTTATCATATAAAAACAAGCAATCGTCATTCGTATAATTATTATCGTTATTCAAGACGATCCTCTTCCACTTCGACATCACCCCAGAACATCCACCCGACGACGTGGCGACACCTGCCGACTCTGACTTGTTATGAATCTGCCATAAACGATGCTAATGCGAAGGAAAAATCTAATTGGTTATTTAACTGCCAATCATATTATGCCAGATCTTTAATTTGATATAACCGATATTAATGCATCGTAAATCTCTCTCGTCCGAAGATTTTTTAAATTTGCTTTTTAAGCTTTTTATATAATTCTTAAATTTTATCACTTTGCTTTTAAACTGTAAGCGGTGAGAAATATAGGTTACCTGTAAACAATGGTAGGTGGCCTATATTTAACACCTTCATTAAACCTTTAAATATTATTAAAAAAAACGTTCAATATTGTAAATTATATAAAAAATTTTTATTGAAAATAAATATAGCTTATAATTTATTTTCAAGTAAAGAGATAAACTTTTTTAAATGAAAATTTTATTCAAATCCTAATAAATATTTTAAAACGATTAAGGGACACACATTTTTTAAATTAAAATGACTTTTTGACTTTATTTATAGACGTATTTTTCTATAAAATTTTATTTTTATTAGCTTCTGTACTACAAAAATAAAAATAAATGTCGAAAATATTTATAAAACTTATTAAATTTATTAGTTTATTACTTGCATTTTTTTATTTATATTCGATAAAATTATCGAAATCCGGATTCAAATGGCTGCGTGTTTTGATTATATTTTCCAGTTGTCAATCTACCGGAAATAAAGAGAACTTATTGATTAAGAATAGCGAAAACTTAATTTAAATTAAAGATTTTTTCCATACAATATCAAACAGTTTTCCTATAAAAATGTAAAATATTTTCCTATTGAATTTATAAAATTATAAATATTTAAAAGTGTTAAGAGTTACTACGTACCACCCGATATAAAGATAAATGTTAATGTTTCTTAGAAATTTAAACGTAGAAAGAAATTTATTTATTTGCGCATTAACATTGATTTATATAAAAAGTTACTTTAATGTTTATAATCTGAATAATTATATTTTTTAATCGGCTTCCAAACCATATGACGTTATTGATAATTAGTTTTATCATTAGTCTTGAGAACTATATCAGAATTAATAACAGGAATAAAATTTAAAAAAAATCAAATAATAACTAGCCTTTCTGGAATTCTAAATGCCAAGAATGTAATTGTTTCAAATCTCTAATTCTTGTTTTACTGAAATAAGTGTTATATGATAATAACAATATGTTATCGCAATGACTCAGTTATTTCACACATACATGAATACATGTGTTATGTATTGCAATAAACTTATACCATATTTGATTAAAATATTTTAAAATCAGATTTATTCATTTTAAAAATTTAATATAAAAACTTATTGTTTTAATATTATATAAATCTAGACATAAATTTATTTTAGTAGAAAAAGAAATATATCATACTCACTTCCTTCTTGATATCGCCTATATTTTTCTATAAAATAAAATAATTCATAATAAATAAATAATAAATAAATAAATAAAAGAAATTTATTAAATAGAATGCTGTCCGTAGCTTCTACACGCAAAACTGTTCAAATGTTGATTATTACGCCACTTCCCGTTCTATTAATAAATCTCAAGACTAGAAACTCGTCGCACTTTGCAAATTCGAATGTAAATACAGTGATACCTCAGGATACGAACGCCCCAGCATGAGAAATTTTCAGGATACGACATGAAATTCGAACATATTTTTGCTCCACGATACGAACAAAAACTCATCATACGACATTATATTAGTTCGCAGCGCCATTTTTTATTCACTTCTGTTCATTGGTCTCAGTCCGTGTGTTTGCTTTGTTGTGGAAGGATCTCGCTCGATTAAAAGAAATCTCGAGGTATTATCAGAAAGTGACTGATTTTATTGAAAAGAAACATCCCGACAAGGTTCACACTGGCCGTATTGCTGCTCGGAGTAATGACATTTGCCTAAGTCATTTTAGAAACATTTTAATTAAAAAGTAGGCAAAGCCAAACTTCTTTGGATAGATATTTTATCAATATCCAGTGAAAGTGCTGGTGGAAGTGAAGGAAAGAAAGCAAAAAGCAGTGAATAAAAATTTTAAAAATATATATCTATATAAAACAACGCTAATTATTTTTTTATCTTTTTAAAGTTATTTTTAAGTTATTGTTTTAAGTATTATTATGTTATGTAAGTTAAGTTTTAGTATCATTTCCCTTCTCCCTGTCTTCCGCTACCAGTTTACACCTCCACCGTCGT